ATGGTGTAAGCCGGGGCCTTGTGTGTCTAGGGTCATCAGGGAGCAGAACAGCCTTCGAGAACAGTGGTCCTTGGTCCTGTTCTCTGCGTTCCAGTATCGCACCGATGAGTCCTTGTACATACATGTAGGGGTAGGTCTTGGGGACCTTCTCCTTCCGGGCCACGTAGTTGTTGGCACGCTTTGACCATACTGCAACATATCTGTATCATAAAATAAAAGAACATGCAAAATGTAACAAGTTGCATTATATGCACACTCATTCTTGTCAATTGGAAATGATTCATATCTCTTAAAGATAAACTTGAGTTCTGGTAAAAAAAGAAAATGAATTCTCACAGAATCTAACGAAACTTACACTGAATGTTCAAGATTACAAATAAATGTCATGTGCCAAACAATTTTGGAAGAAAATGTATACTGGCTGAGTAATGAGCATAGAAAGATAAGGAAATCAGGGTAGTACTAGCCCCGACAGGCCGACACCATGTGTGTTGTCCCATATACATCTTTCTGTGTAAGTGATTGTTACTTTACCAAAACTCTGCCAAATTTATGATGATTTTGATGACTCCAGAACCTTGCATTACACACCAAGTATATTATTACACTGAATCCAAGTCCGCATTTAGGGTCCAAAATCAGCAGCATGATTGACAGACCATCAGCTTACAGTCCGTCATCTACATAATTTAGATGTGCGTCGTGTACAGGGACAACTTCTTTAGATGACGTCATATTTTGGCGATTTAACTACACAGGGAAAACAAAAAATCATGTTTGTTTTTTTTACTCCACCCACTTTGGATTGCCTTGTCCATCTAAAAAAAAATGTACAAATAAAAATAGGAAAAACAAGAAAGAAAAGAAAACCTTTTTTTCTTTCTTTCTAATTTCCACTCACTTTGTATTGCCTTGTTCATCAATCTGGTCGGGCCTGTCCTTGTGTGCCATGTAGTCGATGACCGCAAGCAAATTCCTTGCCCGGTTTGCTGGGTAGCTGGATGGATAAGACAAACAATTGGTATTACCACTACCATGATGAATGAATAGTAAATGCTTTAGACAAATCTCAGACTCATTGGCCCGTAGTCACAAAGGAGGTTTGTAGGAGGTTTGTACAAACCATGGTTTGACGATGGTTTACATCTATGGAATGCTGCTCGCATACCGTAAATTGTAAATTAACATTGTTAACAAGTATGGAGTTTACATTCCTTCTCCATCAGTTTACAAATGGCATTCCATAGATGTAAACCTTGGCCAAACCATGGTTTGTACAAACCTCCTTTGTGAATACGAGCCATTCACTTCAGTTCTGGATTTGTGTTGTAAATTATTGACTCTTAATTAAAGGTAGTTACATTTCCCTGCTACAACCACTCCAACTTGACTTAACATCAGGTACCGACACAAGTACGATACAAAGTCTGCTGTTTCAAGACTCTGCATGCATCCAAAAGTGATTTCAGCATTTATATAGATGTCATTCATAATTTCTCATTAACTTTGCTATTTGCTTCAAAATATGATATTGTAACTGTAACCGTACTGTAATGATATGTTTCAACTTTTCCACAATCTTACTTCAAACATACAAAATGATACTAAAAATACTTACTCAAAGGAATACCGCTTGGAAGCATACATCAGTATATGGTTGTGGAAACACTCGAGCATGCTGGTGTGCCTAAGGAATTATGAAAACAAAATAAAAACTGATATAAATGATAGGGCATTTCATTATTTTCATACCACAAAATCAATATTGAAAATCCCATGTCATACACATGAGCAAATAAGATGCATTATCTTGACCTGCTGATATGTCCCAATTTTATAGGTCATAACCGAAAAAGAGCTCAATCTTGCAAACATGTACGTAATGAACGCATTCTCATTACATTCCTCTCAATTTACAGAGCCTTTCGTACATGTATACAGAATCCTACCTGAAGCGAGCAAATCAGCAGAGTAGGCCAAGTTCTCCATGAATTTGCGGTCAAAGGTGACTTGTACTATTCACCTGCTAATTCCCCTACTGCTGCTTGGAATTTCTTCGCTGGGGATGGATTGTGTTGTCTGTTCTTCATATCTGTAAAAAGTGAAGAAACGAAAGTCATTCACAAAGTAAAAAACATTCAGATTTTAAATCACCAAAAGAAATTATTTTGAAGATGGCATTCTCTAATAATTATCACAGCTAGCCAGATTTAGAATTTGCATGACTAATAACTGATGCATTGGTTCTCTGTCATGTATGTGAAGTTGAGACACTCTTTGGTAGAGATAAATATAGATGAGACAGTCACATCTCAAGCAAGCTATAGTATAACCTTGTCGACTTTTAAAAAGAGCAGGATGTTTACCCGGTTGACTAGCCCTGCACGTCATCATTACAAAGAAAACTGCAGTTGTAACGAGGGACATTAAAGGTAGGGTCTATTACAAAGTTTTGGGAAATTTTGAAAATTGGGTGGATAGTGATTCTTTACAATTTTGATATATTTGGATGCCCCTGTGGAAGTATTATAAGCACTAGAAAATTTAGCTCCTAAAACACTTCTGCTTTCGAAAAAATTGAATATAAAAATTTACCGGTGCTCCCGGTAAATTTTGATAAATTTAAAATAGCGCCTACGGTCGTACAACGGTAGCTGCTACCATAAAAATCCCGGAATATGTAGTTGTGATATATAATTTCAAAAAGGTAATAGCCAATCGGTCAATTGTAGCTTGTTGTATAGCTGAATTAATATATTGACCTTGAGAGAGAGTTATAGTATACCCCATAAAGAGATTATTATTTACAATTTCATCACTTTAGACTCGATTGCAACGCGACAACGTTCACTGAATATGGTAGGATCGCATATGCTTCCAATATTTTCATTTGAACCAAATTCATCCGGAGGTCTAGTGGAGCCAGACGTAGTCTCAGTGGAACAACCGACGATATAGAGACTGAAGCTTTCGGTCTACTGTAGACCTAGGCTAGCTAGACTATCAATATCATATGATTCATGAAATCTGAATTAAAAATCCAAGGCAAGAGATAACAAAACGTAATTTCTTAAATTTGCCGATTCCATGCATCTAGGGTCTAGTCTCTAGACTAGATCAAATTAAAACGGTAGGCCTACCCAATGCAGTGGGGCGTATATCATTTCAACTTACCTCTCAGTGAGCTGGCATGTCTATTGCATCCTCTAGACTCGGCAACGAGAAGGCCGCCTGCAGCTCGCGAAGTTTCTCCGCCGTACCCTGGCCTTGTTCACAGCCACTCCCGCGCCTCCTCTGGGCCGGATGCGAATTTTTTTTCCGTACTCGAGAGAGCAAAAATCCCATGTGCGCATGCGCGTGGACTTATGATTTCTCTGCTACTTCCCATACGAAATGTATGTATTCGCATGTACTGTGCACGATTCGCGTTCTACGAGTAAACGATGGCATAGACTAGTAGTCTTCAAACACAGACTCTGATTTGCCAGTTTGACAAATCAATATGCGTATGTGTCGCGATGTGCTTATTCAAGTCTGTGTAGTTGTATGATTCAGACCCAGTAGTGCATATGGAAATACATTGCAACTTGTATAGAATGGTATAGTAGTCTGCAAGCACAGACGCTAATCTGACAGTTTGACAACATACTAGTAGTGTGCTGAGAAGTACTTTATTCAAGTCGCCAACTTGTATAGAATGGTATAGTAGTCTGCAAGCACAGACGCTAATCTGACAGTTTGACAACATACTAGTAGTGTGCTGAGAAGTACTTTATTCAAGTCTGCGTAGATGTATGATTCAGACCCTACTGGGGCGTGCGTTAGAAATGCATCTCAATGTGTAGAGTGTAGTATAGTAGTCTGCAAGGACATAATAATATATTGTGTATTGATGAGTAGTGATTTTATGCAAGTTTGTGTAGTTTAATGATTCCAGACCCCATGGTAGGCCTATGTATTGTGCCACTGCTCTCTCACACTCTTTCTCTCTCTCTCTCTCTCTCTCTCCATATCTCTCTCTCTTTCTCTCTCTCTCTCTCTCTCTCTAGCCCTCCCTCCAGTATGCTCGCACTCTCTGTATTACTTTTATTTATAATCATGGTCTGCTGAGAGCCAGAAGGATGTTAACTCTTAACACAACGAATGCCCTTCTGGCTCTGAACAAACCCACACACCATGAGGTCATTTATTGGCCTTCTCCGATTAGCGTCTGTGCTTGCAGACTACTATACCATGCTATTCAATTTGGGATGCATTTCTGTAAGCACTAAAATGTCTGAATCATACAACTACTCAGACTTGAATACTAGTACTATTGCTACGCACGATATATGCGTAATTGTTTTGTCAAACTGGCAAATCAGAGTCTGTGTTTGAAGACTACTATGCCATCGTTTACTCGTAGAACGCGAATCGTGCACAGTACATGCGAATACATGTACATTTCGTATGGGAAGTAGCAGAGAAATCACAAGTCCACGCGCATGCGCACATGGGGTATTTGCCCTCTCGAGTACGGAAAAAAAATTCGCGGGCCGGATGGTCGAGCTGCCATTGCTTGTTTCTTTCCTTCCTCTTACCGTCTTACTTAGTCTTATTCCGATTTAGCGTAGCCTTAGCCTTGTCCTTATGCTTAGCACTAGCTGAGTCCGAGCCCGAGTCCGAGTCGGCCATCGTCCGTGACCTCGAGCTCCTTTTCCAATCTCGATCTCGTTATCGTATTTCAATCAAAGCTTGTCTGTAGCTAGCTGTCTAGCGTTCGATCGGCGCCGGTGATAATCTGATATGAGCTGTGTGTGTTACTTTACGTGAAAGCAGCGTATTGGAATTGATCAGCTGTACTGTATTACTAGCGCGCGGTCGGATACCCGCCTGCTAGCTACCTGTAGTACTGTACGTACCAACGAACTCAAACACTCGTTGTAAATACGCTGGTTGTTAAATGACATAGAGGGAGCTAAACACGTAAATTCAAAAAATAAACCGTCGAAAGTCAAAAGTGATGTCCGGACGTCAAACACTTTTATATAATGTTTTGAAAGCAAATTGCACAACAATTAGAGCATTTGATTTGGAATTATTATCATCTCCCATGTTTTTTTCGATGATCTTTCATATGGTACTGAAATAAACCAAATTTGTTTTGGAGGGGCACTTTGGAAATTACCAATACTCAACTATACCTTTAATGAGGTGAGATCTGAAACAAAACAACATAATTTAATTCAAATAGTAGTTTTGCAGCATGAAAATTCCATTGTGGTGCATATAATGCCGATACTATGAAATATAAAAATATCAATATTGCATAAACGTGAAAAAATGAGATCCTTAACCGAATTATCAACACTTACAGAAGTCCATATTTTCGCACAATACATTCGCCTCGTTCTTTAGAATATTTATTAAACGTATAAATTGATATTGACAAATACATTGTATCGTTTTTGTCATTTTTGTCATAAAAAGGTGATTTTTACTTTCAATTTCAAAACTGTATTACAACAACCCAGTCATGAGACATCATTTCATTAAACCGCTTCCATTGGAAACTCATTACATGCCGGCAATTGTCTAAATCAAATTTGTTATATTTTCAAAGAACTCCCACTCAATACGACCCGGTCTTCGCTCAACAATAGACAGCTCTCTTCTTCACACGCCCGGAAGATCCGGACGGGACAACATCCACACTAGACCCATTTAAGAAGCACTTGTAGACGTATAACTATTAGTGAAGTGTTTGTTCATTGTCTTGCAAAGTTGAATTATCCAACCTGGACTTCGAATGGAAGTAGGTTCATAGCGATATCTTAATTACACGTACAACATAAACCAAAGGCGATCAATGCAAAACTATGTAAAGCATTGTGAAACCAATTTTTGCGTGAGAGTAAATTAATTAACAGGAAGTGTTCCAACCACCATTATGTGTATCATATGAAGATTAATATTGTACCGCTTCCATGGGCGGGGATTTTCCCGTTCGTTTCAAATAATTATTAATCACGATACAGAATATTAATTGATAACTGATTGCATGATGGAAAAGGTCTAGAGTTCATCATTGTAAAATTATGAACATAAATTCGTTGTATGTCATATTAAATGACTTATAAAAAGACTTATATATTATACCATGCATAGCAAGCCAAGCAAGTGAGTTAAGATATCTATTAGCGAATGAAGTTCAGTCCCCCCAAAAAATATTAGAGCAGTCAGTCAGAAATATATCATAGTATGTTAACCGTAAATACTGTTTTAAGTCCACCACTAATTACATTTATGAATATAGATTGAACAATCTAACAAGTTTCGAGTTATCCAACTTGCATATACATATATATTTCATTTGGCTTGCATATTCTTTTTTTTAAAATATACAATCCACTTCTTACTATACTAGTACTTCATGACTGAGCCAAGAGGCACAGGGGACATCCCCCTCCTCCGTCCAACCAAAATCCGTGACTATAAGAAATGTTAGTGACCTGCCACCCCCCCCCCCCCCCCCCCCCCCATCCCCCAGCTCAGTCAAATAGTCATGGGGCCGCCACTGATATCGGCTGCAAAGAAAATGCCGTTCACCCCTATTTTAACTCTATTTGTATTTCTTTCTTACAACCAGAATTTGAGGTTGGATTTCAAATACAAATACAAACAGATAGATAACAATCTAGAAATAATGCATACAAAGTGAAAGAAACTGTAGAGTCTGATTCATAAATATATCAATGATTATATTCCACATACTAAGAATCTTGCTATACGATTGGTCAAAAGTAAATCACGTGATGAAAGATAGTTCGCCCATCATTGATGGGAGAAGAAAAGTTTGTTGCACTGTGTAGATAGTAGTACTATCTACACAGTGCAACGCACTTTCACTGAAGATAGAAGTACTATCTACACAGTGCAACACACTTTAATTCTATACTTTGCGTATTGCACATTTATCTAACATCAAAATTAATTAGGATGGGTATGTCTATATTTAATGATAGTGTCATGTTAACGGAAACTTGCATCTAGATGTTTACTTTTAAAGATTATTACTGATTTTTAAGGTGAATACAATCTGCTGTCGTTTCATAAGAATGAGAAAAAACTTTCACAAAGACTTTTAAAAAAATCAGGCAATGGAAAAGACAATTTCAATGGCCTTGTCCATCACCTTGTGGAATGTGTGAACATTACCATAACATTACCATGACATTACCATGACATTACCATGATATTACCATGACATTACCATGACATTACCATGACATTACATAATCCAAGCATTTCACGAGTACAAGCTCGCATGAGTTTATATTTTCGAAAGTCTTAACATTCGTGATGAACTCGGTCTGAATGCACGCATATACATCCCATAAAATATGAGAGACTAAAGATATTGTATATCCATATAATAGTTGATGTTAAAAACAAAACTATTCCTCCGCATTATTGCAACGATGAAACATGAAGAAATGGAAGAAACCAAAAAGAAGAAAGAGCCAGTGAAAAATATGTCACTACATACATGTCTATACTTCATTGAACAATTCGACTCGACTCCCAAAAGAGATGTAGAATTTACTGCAACGTGACTTTTTTATACAAAACTGTAACAACGGGGATACCATTTCGTCTTTAATCAAAGTTGTTTATCTCTTTATTCCAATTGTTTTTATTCTCTAGGCGCTTTCTTCACAGTACATTATTTTGTGTTTTTTGGTTCTCTCTCTTCTCCTCTCTTTCTTCAGTTGTCAAAAATTGACGCATGCGCACCATGATCTCCTGTGACAATAATAATTATCCCACTCGACGATTCATATAGTTTGGAAATAATCGGCGACACTCGGGCAAGCTTCATGATGTTTCGTCCCGATGTCGAAGGTCCAACGTCATGGCATTCTATGCAAGTTCTACTTACTATCTATTCTTTCGAATAAGATAATATTCTGCAGCTTGTCCACTCTCGTACTAAATGTCGAAGTTGAACTTGAATAACTCAATATTCGGTACAAGCCATGCATAATACATGAATAATTTGTCATAATGACAATAATGCTGGCATCGGTAAAGTCAAAGTGTTTCCAGTTTGACGTTTGATCACGTGGCCTATGTACATTCTCATCATGACTGTAATGCAAATGCTGATAATGTTGCATTTAAATAGTTTCCACTGTGACGTTTGATCATGTGGTCTAAGACGTCAGCATGGACAGGAAGATTTCGCTTTTATCTTAGGCGTAAGTCCTTTTGTGAGTGGTGCGTCCGTTGATTTTTGCTCCCCAATGCCATTTGATGTCTGCTGCTGGAGATTTGTAAAAGAATAGGAGGAAAATATTTAAAAGATGGCCATAGCACACGATCTCGACAGCCACCGAGACTGTCAATGTCGGTCTCGCGGAGTTCCGAAAGATTATCTGACAGCTCACGAGACCGACATTGTTGACCTGGTAATTCATATATATAGTTATATAAACACACAAATTGTTAAGTGTTAAAGATAAAGGTGAGTTCTGGTAATGCGATTGCATTGTGAAGGAAAAGGTGTGGAATGGATCAGAAACAGTTGATCATGTACATGTAGCATGTAAGTATTTGTGTGCACTGCAAGGTTCTGGAGTCATCAAAATCATAATAAATTTGACCGAGTCTTGGTAAAGTAACAAACACTGCACACAGAAAGCTATATATGGGACAACACAAATGGTGTCGGGGGCTAGTACTACTTTGATTTCCTTGTCTTTCTATGCTTATTACTCAGCCAGTATACATTTTCTTCCAAAATTGTTTGGCACATGTCATTTATTTGTAATCTTGAACATTCAGTGTAAATTTCGTTTGATTCTGTGAGATCAATTTTCTTTTTTAACCAGAACTGGAGTTTATCTTTAAGATACTGTACCTTAAAGGTATGCCATTTTCTGATCCATATTATTCATTCGAGATATTTGTTAAACATACATTTATTATTGTTATTATTGTTATATTACTGTCTTTGAACGCTTGGATAATAAAACCCCAACCTCAACCTCCGAAAAGTGTTCTCATTATTCTGCTTCTCTGTACTTTTTCATTTTCAGTGTTTAAAAAGATAGCATTTCCTCTCCCCCTGTCAGGCAAAACTTCTGGATCCGCTGATGAGAAAGCAATACTCACTTTATTCTCTTTTTCAAGGAGTAACTTTGCCAAATGTTCGAATGCTTCTGCTACGTTCTGGTTCGTCACGGCACTCGTTTCAAAGTACTTCAATCCATGTTCTTTGGCAAACTGAAGAAGAAAAAACAACGATTTAATAGCTTTTAACTTTTCATTCCACTTTTGAAAAGAGCTATAGAATTTCCTGTTAAAAAAAGATTATTATGAACTAAAGAAAAAACCTTGGCCAGGCAATCTTTTATTCTCTGATGAATCACGCGCATGAAATCTCGCCACATTTTCGTTTTTTTTTTTTTCTTTTAGAGCGAACTTTCTTTTAATAATTCGCTCCACAGAACTCAACAGCGAGGTCAGGTGTAAATACCTCATCATGAACAGATCTTTTGTTCAATGATTTATCTTTTCTCCGCCCTAGTTAGCTCGATCTTTAGGGGTGGAAATGTCATAATAATTTTTCGTGTTCCTTTCTTTTATTCTGTCCTTTAAAAAAATGCCTGTTTCATAATCGCGATATAATTCCTGGTCTCTCTTGTAAAAGCTTATTTTCTTTTCATTGCTTTTTTTATCCTTCTTCTCCCTGTATAGTCAAACCTTCGATATATCCATAAAATCTACTTTACTTTACCGTTCGCTTTTTAAAAGAACGATCATAATTTGCTGTTGAAGATTAAGAATCAAAACATGATTGATATGTTTTTGTATTTCCCATGGTGAGAAAAGGGTTCGTTATTCTGAAAATGGACAAAGGGTTCGTGAAATCTTTAAAAAGTAACGTTTCTTTTCTAATCGCTTTTTCAAAACGGATAACTGTCCCGTTTGTCTTGTACAAAAGTATCACTACTTTCTGTTTTTCTCCCAAGTGCGGGTCCTCTAAACAAAAAACACCGTCCCGACTCCCGAGTCATAAATATTTGAACAAAATAAATTAAAATCATTAGGTGTCTTGAAACAATTGGGAAAGTTGTCCGCCACTACATCACAAAGACATTACAGATAGTGATTGCAACTTTAAAAAAAAAACACTTCTTTAATTCTTGTCCGATTTCTTTCAAACTTTCACCAGAATGCTTCTCTGATTGTCATGCATGCTTTCTTTTAGAGTAGTCTTCTATCAAGATTGGATTTCCCTTTAATATCCTCGACGATTTAATGTCCTACTTAATAACAACATAAACTACACACGATGAACTTTAGTGTATATCTAGGTTATAATTACTGGATTTGGGCAAAGGTACGGCTGCAAAGTGGAAATTGAGTGTCATCAGTCATGATCTTTACCCAAGATCAAGTCATAAATGAATTCAAAAGTTCTTTATCAACACCACATATAGTCGATAATATTGGGAACATTCTCAAACATATCATATAGCGACAAAATGAAGAAAAAAAACACCTCTTACTAACCCGATTGCATGTACATGTAAAGTAACATTTGGCCATAAGGAACTCAAATGTTTTCTTGTTCCATCGTCATGTGCTAATGACGTTTACACACTTTTAGGCCATCCGCTTTTCAAGAATCTGTTATCATTATGATGATTATGAGAGCCTTAAAGCCCTTCTTAAACTAATGTTGGGAGCTCCAATAATAATGTTAAATAAATGTGGACCAAACACATTTGTTTAGTGATGCCATGGTTTGGGAGATAATCATTCATAGTAATTAATTCCTTTGTTTCTCATTCATTTAATCAGAGTAAAAGCGAAAATAGTTATCACGTCTTTTTGATGATTCTGTAACGCGTATGCGTATTGAGGAAGGTTGATACTGAATTACCTGAAGAAACATATCACTCAAAACAAACAAAAAGAACGAGGTCATTGGTTTAAGAAATGATTATGCGATCGCAAGACAACGCCGATTCTAAGAATTTCTTTATCATTTATTTTCATGAAGGTCGAATAAATACTCGATTAATCGAGGACTATCCAATTCAACGGGAAATACTCCGGGACATACTCCACTTAGCATTCCTTCTTTCTGTGATCCAAAGGTCTTTCTAAAATAAATCGGTTTATCAGAATAAAAGGGGAAATAATAGTTACATGTACGTCTTTTGATGATTCTGTACCGCTCATGCGTATTGAGCAACAATCGGTACTGAATTCCCTAAAGTACCAAGCGGTGATGTCACTAATGTTGCACTGGAGAATTTTCTTTGGGTTTTAAAACGGGACAAGATTTGGAACTATGAACGATTCTCATTTCGCAACCCTTTTTTCTAAGAACTGTTATGGTGGTGGTGGTGGTGGTGGTGGTGGTGGTGGTGGTTATTTTACCTGACTGCTAAGAAAGCATAGATGCTTGTAAGTAAGCAACCAGAAGGCCGACGGCTTTAGGTCCTCTCCGAGGGACCTGGTAGTGAGGATTAATGCCTTACCAAAGGTTATTATAGCGCATCGTCTTGGTTTCGAACCCGGGTCACCGGAATACGAGACCACTGCTCTACCGACTAAGCTATCGCGGATGATTTAAAGGGAGCCTTTACTACTTCGGCTAGAAGGGATTAGACCACACATCGAGCCAGCGATGTCACTTTGACAGGTGGCTATGTCATTAACTCAGCTCTCATTTAACATAAGAAAAAGAGGATCATGGGGGACCAACAGGCACCGATTGGGGAAGTTTTCTATATAGAGGGAGCAAGTAGCTACAAGTAGGACAGTGTGCCTTTAAATTCTGACCTACCTCTTCTCCTGCCTGTTGGCTGATGACTCGTTCATCTTCATCAGCATCACTCTTGTTCCCGATCAAAACCATCTTTACACCCTCGGGAGCATACTAGATTATGGCATAAAAAGAAAAGGAAACACATTAATATTTGGAAATTAGTTCTACATTTGGAGCGTTTTAAGAAAGCTTTAAAACTTGCACAACATAAATACAAGAATATGTGAAAATGTCTAAATAAGAAAAATTAAGGCAATGTGTCATCAATATTTGGTTACGTGTTTGCTTAAATATGAAGTTGAGTTCTGGTAATGCGATTGCATTGTGAAAGAAAAGGTGTGGAATGATCAGAAAAAGTTGATCATGTAGCATGTAAGTATTGGTGTGAACTGCAAGGTTTTGGAGTCATCAAAATCATAATAAATTTGGCCTATTCTTGGTAAAGTAACAAGCAATGTCCACAGAAAGATGTATATGGGACTACACTTGGTGTCGGGCCCCGACTTACCTTGATTTCCTTATCTTTTTTTGCTCATTACTCAGCCAGTATACACTTTCTAGCAAAATTGTTTGGCAAATGACATTTATTTGTAATCTTGAACATTCAGTGTAAGTTTCGTTTGATTCTGTGAGAATTCATTTTCTTCATTTTTACCAGAACTCAAGTTTATCTTTAAATAAAATAATGTTTTATTTTCAATTGCAATTTTAGCATTTTCTCAATTTCAATCATTCCGCCAAGAGATTAAACATTCGTGTATGTTCTAAGGAACATTACCAGAAAATTTGTGCACCTTCTATCAAATTCGTTATCAGACGTAGCCTACATCATGCGCATAAAAACATGTGGATCTCTTGGATATCTTTTGAAATCAGTCAAATTCACCAGACCTTTACTACATTATGTAATATCAGAAAAGAAATGGCAATCTATCGTACCATACTGACGTCACCCAGCCAATCAGTGAGCGTCGTGAACGAGTCTTCGGCTGTGACGTCATATACAATCACGATGCCCGCTGCACCGCGGTAGTAGGCTTGCGTCATGGAGCGAAACCTTTCCTGGCCCGATGTGTCCCAGAGTTGGAGCCGAATCTCGTCTGTATCCACGATCAGGGTCCGGATCTTGAAATCGAGGCCTAAACAAAAGAAGAAAAAAAGAAAATAAGATCGCTAAGACATTTTAAAAATCAACTTGAGGAAATCGATCGGTTTACTAACAAATTAAAATTTCATACACACTTCTTTAAGGTTTCCCCGAGACTAACCTGACATAGCAACACGAAATATATGTAGACTGAATTCCGAGTAGTGCAGTTCATTCGTCAATAAAAGGTTGATGAAATAACTCGTCACCAGGCTCCCAGTAAAGAAACATCCATACATTTGAATATGTTAGTATAAACCGGTCTATTTTCCATGAAAAGGTTTAGAGTGTCTGCTAGAGTTTGTTTCCACTCTCTTAAGCGCATTGAAATGTATTATGTAATGGTGTTGTGGCATTAATACTCCACTCAGGTGAGGTAAATCGTACCCGGTAGGAAAAAATTATTTGAATGCTTGAGCACCTTGCCATGGTAGCTCGGCTAAAGCCGGGGTATATATTGCAGGGTCCTCAGGGAGAACAGGATGTATACTGATGAGGCTACCCTGGGTAAACAAGACAATATGACTATTAATGCCCTATAGAAATATAGTTTGTATCTTATTGTTATAACTTACACTAGTTTTCGTAAACCCTTAACAGACCTTCACATTACGTTACACTACATGCGCTTCCTAATATCCCGGCCCCCCCCACTCAGGTTTCAAAATGACCGCATGCGTGTTGCCAAAATGTCCTTTTCGTAACAAAAGAAAAAGGTCGAGCCGTATTGACTTTACACACCGGACTTTTGCTGAAAAGGGGGGGGGGGGGGGGGTGCGGAAAAAGGCTCGTATACAAAAGAAAAAGGTCGAGCCGTATTGACTTTACACACCGGACTTTTGCTGAAAAGGGGGGGGTCGGTTGGAACACGCATATGCGTACCCTAAATAACACTGAGTGGGGGGGGGGGGGGGGGGGCGGGCCTAATATATAGTAAGCACGATCCATTATGACATCACATACAAGCCCTCGATTCGTTATCTCTTTTTTGTTTTATCTCTTAGTTTATGACAACGATGTTGGTGTATGGTGGTCAATTCGTAAACATGAAGGTGTGTGATCTCTCGATCGCATTCTCGTATTTACACGGTCTCTGACGTAACACCATGCGTCATTCATATTGGTGTATCCAGTACAATGTTTGCTTGTTCTCTTTTAACCTTTCATACACCCCGTCTTATAAACAGTTGCGATTAAACACAACCTATTTGCGATTTATATCAATGCTTAAAGGTTGATGATATTAACTTCTTCCAAATTGCCATATTTATGTTCCGTTTTAATATCAAATTATTACCTACATGTACGTCATTATCTTCAATGTTCCAACATTATAACATGTTTCATTCGTATTCAACAAGGCAGTCATTGAATTTACATGTGGTCAATCCTCACACTACATTAGCCCAGAAATCAATCAGACCAAGAAGTTACCAGCAACTCGTCCAGATGTATGGAATTCTTTACCTAATGATATTCGAAATATAAAATCAACAAACTCCTTTAAAAGAGTACTCAAATGTATTATCATTTCACAGATATAAGATATTAATTATATTATAATCCATATATCAGTTCTGATTAAATCTAACACAATTTTGGCTTACTAGGCTTATTTCGTTAAAACGAAATCCTTTTTTTCTTTCTTTTTTTAACCTTGTAAATAGTGTAAATAATTCACTACAAAACTTTAGGAATTTTATTTGTTATATATTATATATTTGAAAGGTGTTGTAACGATTCAAGCTCTATTTGCTTATGTTTCATCACCTTTGTGTGTTCATTTTCAATCTGTATATTAGCTGCAACTTGTCTTTGAAAAAACAATGTTATATTCTTTTTCACGTGAAGTTAATTCAAATGGATTGTAAAATTGAAAATGATTTGTTATATCATATAAAGTTTTCATGTGATGTTAACTTCAGTGAATTGTGAAATTGTGAACATGCATGCATGCATAAATAAATAAATAAATAAACTATGTGCATAGTCATAACAGAAAGAGGACTGCAAACTTGCGATTGGTTAGAGGATTCATATTAATCGCAATTGCAATCGATTCGGATTAATCGCAACTGCCAAATCTGTATAAGACGGCGACCTGAATAGATCCCGGCCTCCCCACTCCGAGAACGGACGGACCCCATGCGTGTTACCAAAATGTCCTTTTCGTAACAAAAGAAAAAGGTCGACCCGTATTGACTTTACACACCGGACTTTTGCTGAAAGGGGGGGGGGGGGGTCGCTTGGAACACGCATATGCGTAGTTGCGTACCCTAAATAACACTGAGAGGGGGGGGGGGCGGGGGGGGGGGGGCGGGGAATAGATACGAGAGGGATGACCATGGTCAACATGGTGAAGAGTTGAAGGTCAATATGTTTCAATCTTGTTAATTGATCAATATTGGTATTGGCACAGGATAGGAACAGCAATCAATTAAAGCTCGTCGACTAACGATAAGTTGTGACAAACTGACCCTTGTGGTGGTCAAAAGTGACCGAGCAAGATTTGAGGGTCGCTTAAAAAGACTTCTTTCCAGCAGAATAAATCTCAGTATATATTTGAATTTCGTAACATGATCGAATAGAGAGAGGAAATATTTATTTTCTATATCCTTATTTTTGACCCGCAAGACTAAATTACATCATTATTCAGCCACCTATATGTACAAGTATCGGACCATATTCACCCGAAAATGTACATGTACTAACCAGCAAGAGAGGGAAAATCTTTCGAAAGATCCTCAGATCTCAACATGATTCCAAATGTATAAATAGTTGCCAGATTTTCGAATTTATATACCGAATGAGATTCCACAAAATGCTCAACAAATAAACAATAAAAGGATAATCTGCTAATTATGTAGTTTGCCGTTAAACCTCCAATACCCCAGGGGCCCAGCCCAACCCACAATCTAGCGATGTGTCTGAACACAGAATATCATTATTGTACCCATCGTTTAAATCTTGCATTTGCGTAGCTCCGAAATGCAAGTGCCCCTCCCCCCCCCCCCACAACGAATGGCAGGGGGGGGGGGCAATACAATGAAGGGGGAGGTGGAAGTAGACAAGAAGTGCAATTGTTAAAATATTACCCCCCCCCCCGCCCCTCGAGATGGATTTGTTAATTTGCATTTCATTTATGGAATAAGATCATCGTCCAACCACCCCCCCCCCCCCCACACCTACCAGGAAACAAGTGGCCCTCAATGACTCGACCAAACACACACCACTGATGGGAGGAATAACAAATACCATATCCGATCACAAACCCCCACCCCCTCCCCCACTCTTAATTTCGACGTCCTCTATCATGGAACATTCCTTATTTTTTACTCACTCAGTGTTGAAATCTTACCTAGGGTAGCTTTGCTGTTCAGGGGGAACTCCCCCTCCACGTATCTCCTCAGCAGACACGTCTTGCCCACCCCACTTCCGCCGATGAGGAGAATCTTGTATGAAGAGCCCGAGATCTCTCTCTCGATGGGCGCCCTTTCACTCGATCCCATGATGCAACGCGGCTTTCAAAATGGCGGCCTGCTCAAAGTTCAGAGAAGAAACATAGGCCTACGATACCGCAAAGTATCCTTGAGTTCAAGTTTCGGTTCCTGTATGCAAGAGAATGAGATCTTATTGATTCAAGTTGCTTCAAATTTCATCAAGAAACTATAGATTATAGTTTCGCACTGTCCGTCCCTGGATCCGCATAATATAACATAAAATGTTAATTATAATAAAGTATTATGATCAACAAATATGCGAGACTCGCATACCGTAAAGAGTACACAACTTTAAACATGAAAAACATGAAAGCTCTTTGCTTCTATATCGCCATCACAAAAGGACGACTTTTGGACTCGTCACTTCCGCTTTCTTTACATGGTCATAGGCAATTAACTTGATAAAGCGCCATACGTACTAGGCTGAAGCAATATTATGCGAAACTAAAATCATAAGTATGTCCAAGAAGCGACATTTTTAAACCTAACCTAGCCAATCCGGCACTGCATATTAATAGTTTGGACTTCCGCTTGAGAACTTTTTACAAGGTTAGAGGCAATTTTCTTGATAAAGTGCCATAAAAACCACGTACTAGGCTGAAGCAATATTAGGCGAAACTAAAATCATAAGTACCTTTGTCCAGGGATCTTCTTCTTCTTCGTTTAGTATTATAATGGCATTAGTCAAATTTGACTATTGTTGCCAATTTCATTACATGTCTTGGTAAAAAAAAAAATTAAAAATCTAATCTCATGTTGTTGTGTTTTGGCTTATTGGCGATTAGTCAGTAATTTGACTATTGTCGCCATGCTGTTCTATATGGTGTCCTTGAAACTTTTTTTTTACTACAGCTAGAGCTTAGGTGGATTTTTATTTAGGAATTAGTCGGGGATGTCCGACTCACTTTATTTTCTATTTGAAGAATTAAGTTCCGTTATAGCACAATCATGCACGTAGTTATTTGCTAATATTATTGATAAGTCATACTATGGGGTCCTTCAAATCTTTGACCAATGCACATGTAATACTGGCTTACTTTCTTATGTTTGTCTCCCGAGACAAATGAACATGAAAGGACGTTTGCTTGGCTGGGACTGCGCCCCTACTCAACCACGCACCCCTTCACCCCTCCCGTTAACAAAAATACAATAATGAAATTGTGACGTCATGGTAGTAAGTCAATATTAGCATATGGATGTTTCTCAAACTGGGGTAGTATTTAACTATCTGCACTTTTCATGACAAATGACAATGACCTCAAATAGCCTACGAATTTTTTTATGACCGTGAATTAGATTTGTAAAGTTGTATGGTTTCCCTTTCTCAAAAACCATTTACCGTACACGTACGATCATGGCCATATGCATTGAAGGCAAGCGAAAATAAAATATGATAGCATGCTGAGTTTGGATGGACGGTAGTAATAAAGTAACCAATGGGTTGCATCGGTGAATTTTCATTAGGGGCCACATGTCTTCTTTTGTAATGATAAAAGGGGGAAGGCAGACATGTAAAAACAATATATTTGCGGAGATACAATGTACATGTATATTTGTGGATATTTCTGATGCTGTGTAGTGAAGATGTGATTTGGTTTGGCCAGGGGTATTTTCTTGATGGGGAGGGGTGCAAATTATACGAGGACAAACGCCTAACCTTTTCCAGTAAAACCGCCATTGGACCAACCCAAAAACATACTTTACACAACACGGGCAACAAACTTTCTATTCGTTGCATAAATAATCACGTGCAAAATAAAGGTCATTTGACATAGATGGCTGTGTCCTTGTTATGACATACACGTTCACAAAGACATAAGTGCGATAAATTGTCAATCCATTATTGCCCATTATATCAATTTTATATCTGTAAGTACATGTACATGTTTATACTTAGTTTTGGATTTAAGGCAAAGAGGTGGAGTTTGGTTCGAGAGAAATGCGAGTTTATCAAGCCGTTCGTAATAATTTAATAAAATAAATGATCATAAAAGAAACACAGGAGCTTTTTGATTGCCCAATCTAGCATAAATATGAATTTCCAAGTTTTCGTAACTTTTATCTTTGAGTTCATCGTAAACTGGTGTGTTAGGTTCATGGTTTTAGTAATGCGTAATATGGCTAAATCGAAACTCACATTAATACAATACTCCATCTATCCTGATATTAATCATAGTTTCATATCGATAACGTGATAAAGAAACATGAACAAAGCTTTTATAACTATCTTCTTCAAATAGAGAGACCTTGTACTAAGGGGTCCCTCCATTCTTACTTGGAATATTTTCCGTGCATTAGGTCCAGGAGCGAATTTGGAGGTAACAGGGGCACTACCCCCCCCCCCCCCCCGAATGGCGAGAAGTGAAAGGAACGTGAAATAAAGATTGCACGACATTCCCCACATCCCATCTCCAACATATCCAATCGTTGACCTTGTCGAGTCGCATTGATCACAACTGACCAAGATCGGTAACGCCCCCCCCCCTCCCTACACCATTGCCAGGACCTGCACTAAATATACTGACTAGGACAAGACAACAACGTCCAGACACGTAATATGGTGGTATCACTGGTATAGTGGGGGTGGTAGTGGTGGTATTGGTGGTGGCGGTGTGGTGGTGGTGATGGTAGTGGCAAAAAGGGGTAGAGGTGTTATGATAGGTGGTGGCAGTACATTTGGTGGGGGTCCATGGGTGTGGTATACTATTGGGATTTATTGGGGGCACTAACAACGTTTTAATAGTGACATAATTGTGGTGGTATGTGTTCATGCTGTTGGTGGGAGTGGTAGAAACAGTGGTGGAATGGCTTGGTTGTTGGTGGTTGGGTTGTATTTCTTTCTGTGGTGATATTAGAGGTGGTGTTGGGCATGGTGGTGGTATATTTGGTGATGTAGGCCAAAGTGGCGGTGGTATATTGTTGGTCAAGCAGTATTATCATGATGTTGATAGTAGTTGGTAACGCCCGCACTGTGTCTGTAGTACTAGTAATATGGATATAAAGCTATAGGCTTATGATATGGAACAAGTGACCATTAACAAAAGAATATTTTTTTAATGTGATAAAAAGGAAGGATTATGTTTATAATAGGAATGATACTCACCGATGGTCTTTGACTCTTTGCGCGATTCAAATATTCCAAGTCACTCTATGGAAGTTTGCTGAGCTGTATGGTAACTAATTTCCCCCAAGTTCAAACGGTCATATTCCAATGATATCCCCTAACGAGAATCAGTTAGGTGCATGGTCCATGGTCGGGTCAACCCAAACGATTTATCACAAACTATTAATAAGGCCGATTCTCTAGTAGCAAAACTACCGTGCTTTCAAACATGCCTGTAATTTGAGTGTAAACCTTCCAATTGGTAACTTCCAATGTAGGTCTAAAGCAGTACATAATCAGATACTGTGAACCGTATATAAAACGATGATGGCAACAAAAACACGAGGAAGTTAGAGCCGATTAACTAATCACTAATTACAACTGTCTGTTAACACGGAGAACGCTCTGCCAATTTCCAACCGAAACTAGGCATGCTATTAAAATGTTACGTACATTATCCAACCGTATACAAAGCAGCGAATTATCAGAGAAGAACGTTCATTGTAGCCCCACAATTGTAGCAAAAAGCTATGTAAAATTCTTTATTGTATGGACGAATGACGTTGCGAAAGAAACGCAATACGATTGTGCGGTCTTGGTTCTTTTATTTAGCTCCGGACTGAAAAGCTTCGCTTCAGTGTTCGAGTCGAGTCACTAGTCATGAATAAATATTCCGAGGTTTTACAAATCGATGATGTCAGAACTGGAAATAAAGCTTCTAACTCGCACCGTCGCACTAGATCAACAAAGATTAGGTAACTTGTGATGGTCTAACAATCTAAACACCACTCTTCTGGACTTGGTCCTGGCCTATGCGTAGAACTATGTACGGTCCAGTTCTGTCATCACGGTACGTCTTGCAGAAGAATCAACTGAGCAAACTCTGAATGCACAATTATATCGAGCGTCTGACATGTAGACCCACTTGTAGTATTATGTGTGGGTCTTGATGTAGTCCTTTCAATTCGTTCTTATTCGAGATTCAATGCTTGTAGTTCATTGTGGAAGAGCTAAGGTCATATTTACACAACGTTCTGATTTGAGTTTTGATGTGTAACTTTACCTAAGGTACGTGTATAGACAATGCACTGATAAGACTCGCTATTATGCTTCGTGGATAACACAGGAAATGTGGCAATGCTTTCGTCAATGTCAAATGCTTTAATATATTGGTGGTGATCTACTAAAAAGATGGAACATGTGCAAATAAAACAATCCGGGCAAATTATGGCACCATGCCAGATAATAAGTCACGATTTATAATAACGTTTGTATTATAATCATGCGTGTGCCATGTGAGTTAACAGGGTTATAAGGTGTTGGTCGTGCTCTATTTACTCCAACCCAAAGAGATGGGGTCGGGGGAGGGCTGATTTAAAAGGTGGTAGACATAATGGCGCTGCGTGGGTGTGATGATTTAATAATAATCCAATAAATTATCGATAATTATAACAATAAACTAATATTAAAAGTTTTAAAACATATGATGTAGGCTATCACAATATCAAAAACCCACAATAAATTATCAATTTATGAATGGCAAAAGTTATATCATGATTAAATGTATGATTAAACCCGGTGGATCGATGGTCTATACCCCCCCCCCCCCCCTCTGTTTCCCGGGCCTTGCGAAGTTCGAACAGGTGATCACTTTGCCAATCGTCCATGCGTACGATGCAATATTGGAAATGTATAATATGACCTAATAAATGAGAAGGCCTTGTTATATTTAGCCTATATTGCAAGGCTCAGGGCCTCGTCTAAAATGAGAGAAAATGACACCGAGTGACGTTTCTTATTTTGTATTCATGACATTGCAACAATGACCGCATTATGTTGATGTATTGTCCATAAAGGTACTGAGAAAGTCTTTCTCCTTGTCTGCATGGAGGACACGCACTTTAAATATCCCAATAGAAAAAGGATAGAATGGGGCTGTAGTCTCATTTAAAAAAAGGAAAGCGATTTCGGGACAGTTCAAAATAATGCTGGGAAATGGAAATTAAAATGATACCGTTTTAAAAACCAGTTAGATATGGTTTAAGGACAAGAAGCATGAGATAATTCATTGCTCGGCAATCTGGACTGTATTTGAAACAGAGCATCCAATATTCCTGATATTTAATAGTATACTGTCAATGAAAAAATATAACTAAAAAAATAATAATAATGGACCTCTTTATTCTAATTTGTACTTCAAGATCCGTGTATAGTTCCTGCCCCCCGACATTGGGAACACCACCGCGGGGGAACCTTGGGTTTACAACAAGACTTATATAACGAAATGGAGCTGTACGAATTTATTCATTTTAAATGCAGAAAAAAAAATGCGGAAGTGATTGAAATAATACTATGCAAATATTTAAAGTGTTCTATCATGATATAAGTTACATTATTATTATTATTATTATTATTATGCAGAATTATATATTGGTGTCATGGAGATGACAAGTTAAATGACCCTTTTCCATCCTTCACCCAATAACCTTGGTCACTCTCATTATTTTCATTATTCTATCGAATCCACTGCCCCCCCCCCCCCCCTCCCCTTCCGCCCTGATAACAATGGCCCCTCAATGACTAGGCCCACGCGACATCACTGCCAAACGTACCAAATTATCATTGGGATCGAGTTGATTTTACATCGGATCCGGTAGGCTAAATACGAAGGAGAGTGGTTTCCCAAATGTCCTAAATTTATAACAATTCAGGATAATTATGCAAAGGGTCGTTTATGAAACACGGTGAAGCAAACTTCTTCGAAACGATAAGCTTTACCGCATTTAAAGACAGATTTAATCATTATGTTATTTTTTTTTATATAGGTTTATATGATTAATTTTTGTTATAATTACCACATATTAACGATTTGTTTTTCCTTCATTTTCTTGCTTGTTAGTCAAAGATTTTGTTGTTCTCTTCCTGTGTGTAGACCTTCATTTTTTGCTTCAATACAGTTTTGAAAAATGTGAATGGACATGCATTCTATTTCTTGTATCAAAATAATTGATATGCAATGTTGAAAAAGGGAAATTCGACTGATTTCATTTTTGTAATGTAGGATTATAATATTAGCTTTACAAAGATTAAATTGCATAATTCATATTCTTGTGTGTTACAAAATTACGAACACGTAATTAGACTTTGAGTCTATTGCATTGATTTATCAAACAATTCTATTTGCATAACTATTTGTGATCAATATTGCATACCTCATCGACTGGCATTAGTTGATAACAAATTATCACTGGTTATATCACTACTTTGCGCATAAGATATTTTAGTTACGAAGTTATAGAAGGGTTTCACAATCAATCTGATTTCATAATTCCGGTTCTTCTGTGAGCAAATCTCAAATCTCACACGTTGTGATTCGTGTACTTAGACTTTGGCCATGTTGATAGCTTAATAGCCCCTTAATAGTAATTAATACAATAATGGTGGTAAGATCTGACAAACACTTCAACGTCGTGAAATAAATCAAAAGACCTTCACCGGTTGGTGTTCTTTGATAACGTGTATGGTTAGACTTTGTGCATTAGATACAAAATAAATATACATTTTCTTAAGATTTCGATGGAGGAACAGCAGTGTGTGCAGCCCCCCCCCCTCCTCCCCACCCTCCCTTAACCCGGCTAGGCTACTTTAACTCTTTAGTTTCTTGAAAAATTTCTTTAAAGTCTTTTTGTTATATTTTCCTCAAGACCGTTTCTTTAACACTATTTCTTATACTATAATGAGTTTTTTAAAGCTTCTACCAACCTTGAATTTGTTGGGCAAGCTTTCGTCCACTCCTGTAGACTCTCTCATATGAGTTAAACGTTTTCTTAGCGCTGACTGGTGTCTTGCGATCACTGGACCAAATATGGATTAAGAGGATTAAGCCTACACTAAACAGTTACTATGGCTACCTATTGTCACATATAATTCTTTGGTCCAGTGATCGCAAGACGCCAGGCAGCGCTGAGAAAACGTTTAATGCCTGGATTACATTTGCCCCGGGCGCCGTACGATAAATTAGTCTACGATTTTTCGTAGACATCGTAGGAGGCTACGGGCTACGATGTTTGTGTTTACATTATCTACGAGCATCGTGCCATTTATTGTATTGGCCCTCGGGGGCAGGCCGGGGCAAATCCGTACAGAGGCTGCTCGGAGATCGTGCAATTTGCATGCAGTAGCCGTGCAGTCTCCGCAGCCTCCGCACGGAAATCATACGGAACCCGTGCAGCTTCCGTGCAAAGGTTGCGCGGAGAAGGCGCGGTGACCGTACAGCAACCTTGCGATAGCTGTGCAATTGCCGTGCGAATGCCCCATGAGTCTACAATCTCCGTACGATTTTCTTTGCCCCCATGTTCACCGAAAATCGTACGTTTGCTGCACAATCAGTGCGAGGCCTCCGGGCGATGCCCGTGCGGGGATTGTGCAATGCCACCTACGACATGTATACGGGCTACGGGCTTACGATTTTTTCAAATTTGTTTAACTTATCGCGAAACAAAATCGTAAAGGCTGCGGAGCCCGTGAATCCGTACGAAAATCTCACGGCCGCCTCCTGCCACCGCACAGAGGCCGCACGGAAAAGGGGATACGAGCAAGATACGGGCTCCGTAGACTAATCGCAGGCCAAATGTAATCCAGGCATTAGCTTGAGAAAGTCAACAGGAGTAGACGAAAGCTTGCCTACAAAATTCAATGTTGGTAGAAGCTTTAAAAACACTACATTATATGATTATCCCCAACCGATGAATTTTGTTTGTATACTTCTTATACTGTTTCTTTAATGCAAATCATAATAACTTTTCCTCATGAAGCATTGTACTGTAATAGTTACAACGTTACCGACCAAAGCGCTCATACAGTATTATGTTTACACCGGTCACTGGGTTCCGTTACGATCTGGGGGGGGGGGGGGGGGGTGGTGGTGGGGGGTTAGTGAGCACATTTTTTTTTTGGGGGGGGGGGTCCTCGGAAATTAAAAAATGTGCAACCCTTCCCCCCCCCCCCCCCCCTTGAGCGCCAGCGGGGGGGGGGGGGCCCAACCCCCCAAAATGGTAAAAATCTCATGTTTTTACATGGTTTTTTTTCTCAAGGGGGGGGGGCGGCCCCCCCCCCCCCTCCTGGATCCGCCACTGCCCCCTCACCCTCTGTATATCTCTC